ATTTATGTCATATGATCCGTATAGGTGCATCAGGATGTGGAAAATCAACAGTTATTCAACTTTTAGAACGATTCTATGATGTTACAAGTGGTCAACTAGTTAGTATTTATTCTGTTGATAATTTTTTAGTTTTTAATTATATAATATTTGTCTACTCAATTTAGCTTCTTGATGGCATTAATATTCGACAACTAAATCTCCATTGGGTTCGTTCTCAGCTTGGTCTTGTTAGTCAAGAACCAATTTTATTCGATATAACCATAGCTGAAAATATAGCATATGGCTTAGAAAATGTTCCAATGGATGATATTATCAATGCAGCACGTAAAGCTAATATTCACGGTTTTATTGAGCAATTGCCTCAGGTTAAAGAATATGAAATGATACAATGTATCTATTACTATTGTAGGATATTGCTTTTTTCAGGGTTATGAAACAAAAGTAGGGTTGAAAGGCTGTTTTCTATCGGGTGGTGAGAAGCAACGTATTGCTATCGCTCGAGTTCTTGTTCGTCGACCTAAAATATTGCTCTTAGATGAAGCTACAAGTGCGATGGATTCACATAATGAACAAGTATATTTAATTTTTGTTTTCTCTATTTATCAATCAAAGTGTTATCTTTATTTTTCAATTATAGATTGTACAAGAAGCTCTTGAACAAGCTCAAATAGAAGACCCTAGTCGAACATCACTCATTATTGCTCATCGTCTTTCAACTATTCGTTCATGCGATTCAATTTGTGTGCTTGATAGAGGACATATTGTAGAGAGTGGCACTCATACAGAATTGACACAACTACGTGGAACTTATTATAAAATGCTTGCTCAAAACAATTTATGACATTTTTTGAAGATACTAGCCATGCAGTGACAAACTGTTGCATTTACTATTGTCCTTTACTTCCTCAAATATTGTATTCGAAACTCTTACCAGGACTCAATAATAAAAAACAACCTTGAACTGACTCGTAAAGTAGGATGTGGGTGTGGATGGATGTAAGTGTGGCTAGAGT